ATCTAGCACCAGATGTTCTGACTGTTCTAAGACATCTGACACCAGATGTTCTGACTGTTCCAAGACATCTAGCACTAGATGTTTTCTCACTGTTCTAAGACATCTAGCACCAGATGTTCTGATTGTTCTAAGACATCTAGCACCAGATGTTCTGACTGTTCTAAGACATCTAGCACCAGATGTTCACCAAGACATCTGATGTTCTGACTGTTCTAAGACATCTAGCACCAGATGTTCTGACTGTTCCAAGACATCTAGCACCAGATGTTCTGACTGTTCTAAGACATCTAGCACCACCAGATGTTCTGACTGTTGTTCTAAGACATCTAGCACCAGATGTTCTGACTGTTCTGAGCAAGACATCTAGCACCAGATGTTCTGACTGTTCTAAGACATCTAGCACCAGATGTTCTGACTGTTCTAAGACATCTAGCACCAAATGTTCTGACTGTTCTAAGACATCTAGCACCAGATGTTCTGACTGTTCTAAGACATCTAGCACCAGATGTTCTGACTGTTCTAAGACACTAGCATCTAGCACCAGATGTTCTGACTGCACCAGATGTTTTTCCAAGACATCTAGCACCAGATGTTCTGACTGTTGTTCTAAGACATCTAGCACCAGATGTTCTGACTGTTTAAGACATCTAGCACCAGAGACATCTAGCACCAGATGTTCTGACTGTTCTAAGACATCTAGCACCAGATGTTCTGACTGTTCTAAGACATCTAGCACCAGATGTTCTGACTGTTTCTAAGACATCTAGCACCAGATGTTCTGACTGTTCTAAGACATCTAGCACCAGATGTTCTGACTGTTCTAAGACATCTAGCACCAGATGTTCTGACTGTTCTAAGACATCTAGCACCAGATGTTCTGACTGTTCTAAGACATCTAGCACCACTGACTGTTCCAAGACATCTAGCACCAGATGTTTCTGACTAGCACCAGATGTTTCTAAGACATCTAGCACCAAATGTTCTGACTGTTCTAAGACATTTAGCACCACCAGATGTTCTGACTGTTCTAAGACATCTAGCACCAGAAGTTCTGACTGTTCTAAGACATCTAGCACCAGATGTTCTGACTGTTCTAAGACATCTAGCACCAAATGTTCTGACTGTTCTAAGACATCTAGCACCAGATGTTCTGACTGTTCCAAGACATCTAGCACCAGATGTTCTGACTGTTCTAAGACATCTAGCACCAGATGTTCTGACTGTTCTAAGACATCTAGCACCAGATGTTCTGACTGTTCTAAGACATCTAGCACCAGATGTTAGCACCTGACTGTTTCTAAGACATCTAGCACCAAATGTTCTGACTGTTCTAAGACATCTAGCACCATGTTCTGAATGTTCTGCACTGTTTGACTGTTCAAGACATCTAGCACCAGATGTTCTGACTGTAAGACATCTAGCAAGACTGACTGTTCTAAGACTAGCACCAATGTTCTGACTGTTCTAAGACATCTAGCACCAGATGTTCTGACTGTTCTAAGACATCTAGCACCAGATGTTCTGACTGTTCTAAGACATCTAGCACCAGATGTTCTGACTGTTCCATTCTAAGACATCTAGCACCAAATGTTCTGACTGTTCTAAGACATCTAGCACCAGATGTTCTGACTGTTCTAAGACATCTAGCACCCATGTTCTGATGTTCTGACTGTTCTCCAAGACATCTAGCACCAGATGTTCTGACTGTTCTAAGACATCTAGCACCAAATGTTCTGACTGTTCTAAGACATCTAGCACCAGATGTTTCTGTTCTAAGACATCTAGCACCAGATGTTCTGACTGTTCCAAGACATCTAGCACCAAATGTTCTGACTCTGACACTAGTTCTGTTTCTAAGACAAGATGTTCTGACTGTTCCAAGACATCTAGCTGACTGTTCTAATGTTCTGACTGACTTTTAAGACATCTAGCACCAGATGTTCTGACTGTTCTAAGACATCTAGCACCATGTTCTGACTGTTCTGACTGTTCTAAGACATCTAGCACCCAACATCTAGCACCAAATGTTCTGACTGTTCTAAGACATCTAGCACCAATGTTCTGACTGTTCTAAGACATCTAGCACCAGATGTTCTGACTGTTCCAAGACATCTAGCACCAGATGTTCTGACTGTTCCAAGACATCTAGCACCAGATGTTCTGACTGTTCCGAGACATCTAGCACCAAATGTTCTGACTGTTCTAAGACATCTAGCACCAGATGTTCCAAGACATCTAGCACCAGACTGTTCTGACTGTTCCAAGACATCTAGCACCAAATGTTCTGACTGTTCTAAGACATCTAGCATCAGATGTTCTGACTGTTCTAAGACATCTAGCACCAGATGTTCTGACTGTTCCAAGACATCTAGCACCAGATGTTCTGACTGTTCCAAGACATCTAGCACCAGATGTTCTGACTGTTCCAAGACATCTAGCACCAAATGTTCTGACTGTTCTAAGACATCTGACACCAGATGTTCTGACTGTTCTAAGAAATCTAGCACCAGATGTTCTGACTGTTCCAAGACATCTAGCACCAGATGTTCTGACTGTTCCAAGACATCTAGCACCAAATGTTCTGACTGTTCTAAGACATTTGACACCAGATGTTCTGACTGTTCTAAGAAATCTAGCACCAGATGTTCTGACTGTTCCAAGACATCTAGCACCAGATGTTCTGACTGTTCCAAGACATCTAGCACCAGATGTTCTGACTGTTCCAAGACATCTAGCACCAAATGTTCTGACTGTTCTAAGACATCTAGCACCGGATGTTCTGACTGTTCCAAGACATCTAGCACCAAATGTTCTGACTGTTCTAAGACATCTAGCACCAGATGTTCTGACTGTTCTAAGACATCTAGCACCAGATGTTCTGACTGTTCCAAGACATCTAGCACCAGATGTTCTGACTGTTCTAAGACATCTGACACTAGATGTTCTGACTGTTCTAAGACATCTAGCACCAGATGTTCTGACTGTTCTAAGACATCTAGCACCAGATGTTCTGACTGTTCCAAGACATCTAGCACCAGATGTTCTGACTGTTCCAAGACATCTAGCACCAGATGTTCTGACTGTTCCAAGACATCTAGCACCAAATGTTCTGACTGTTCTAAGACATCTAGCACCAGATGTTCTGACTGTTCCAAGACATCTAGCACCAGATGTTCTGTCTGTTCTAAGACATCTAGCACCAGATGTTCTGACTGTTCCAAGACATCTAGCACCAGATGTTCTGACTCTTCTAAGACATCTAGCACCAGATGTTCTGACTGTTCCAAGACATCTAGCACCAGATGTTCTGACTGTTCCAAGACATCTAGCACCAGATGTTCTGACTGTTCCAAGACATCTAGCACCAAATGTTCTGACTGTTCTAAGACATCTAGCACCAGATGTTCTGACTGTTCCAAGACATCTAGCACCAAATGTTCTGACTGTTGCAAGAAATCTAGCACCAGATGTTCTGACTGTTCTAAGACATCTAGCACCAAATGTTCTGACTGTTCTAAGACATCTAGCACCAGATGTTCTGACTGTTCTAAGACATCTAGCACCAGATGTTCTGACTGTTCTAAGACATCTGACACTAGATGTTCTGACTGTTCCAAGACATCTAGCACCAGATGTTCTGACTGTTCCAAGACATCTAGCACCAGATGTTCTGACTTTTCTAAGACATCTGACACCAGATGTTCTGACTGTTCTAAGACATCTAGCACCAGATGTTCTGACTGTTCTAAGACATTTAGCACCAGATGTTCTGACTGTTCCAAGACATCTAGCACCAGATGTTCTGACTGTTCCAAGACATCTAGCACCAAATGTTCTGACTGTTCCAAGACATCTAGCACCAGATGTTCTGACTGTTCCAAGACATCTAGCACCAGATGTTCTGACTGTTCCAAGACATCTAGCACCAGATGTTCTGACTGTTCCAAGACATCTGACACTAGATGTTCTGACTGTTCCAAGACATCTGACACTAGATGTTCTGACTGTTCCGAAATTTTTTGTACCTGTTGACTTGCTAACGAATTACGCAGTTTAGGTATATTTCATACTGCGATATGTCATTCTTTTCGGTGATGACAATAAGTTCTGTTTATGGCTATTTAAAGCTGATTGCTCGCTAAACTATGGGTGTATTCACTAAACACTGCAAATCTTTTAGGCGCCGGTGATTTTTCCGCTACATTAGACTGTAGAATAAAATAAACTTAGAGAGTCTATTATATTTGATAGGTTGACCCACTTTACCGTGAGTAACGTGAAACGGTCTATTACAAGCATTGGTAGTCCCATAATAGATATTTCATTTAGGATGTCAAGTAATAGATTTTCACAAATTCTAGACCATGAAATATGAGGCAGGGTCACCATTTCCGTCCCATGTCGACTTGTCTCACCAGACATTTCCCCAAAAATGCCTGCATGCACTACAGAATAGCAACAGAAAAAAATATATAAAACTTAAGCGGACACAAACAATACATTGCACAATTTATTGCCAGGCATATTTCGCTGTATCTCATCAGGTACATTACTACAGAGTTACATCAACATAAAATAAAGCACAAAACTGAATAAATTCAACTGAAATGCGAATAGTTTCTTCCGATTCATTGTGTGTTTCATGGCCGCCGTAAGCTCACCATAGTCACGTGACTTACCTGGGTAACTTCACATTTACGATAAATTCCGTCTGCTTACAAAAAAATCTTTGACGGAAAGAGTCGGCAGCTTACATCATAAACAAAAGTTGTTAAACATCGAAGAAAATATGTTCGTTTTCCAGAACCATCGAGAGTTAGCGGAGATAAAGGAAAGTTCATGTTCCATTGATGTTACAGAAGATAATTATGTGGTTTATAAAACTTACATCACAAACAAACTTTGTTAAACATCGTAACAAAGTATGTTCGCTTTCTAGAACCAATGCAAGGTCGGCGGAAATACTAAAGTGTATTTTGTTGATGTTAACAGAAGATTGCATGTTTCATTGGGTGCCCATCGCAAAATCGTAGTCTATTCAGTTGTTTTAATGTGAACACAAGCTTGGCGTCTATATCAACATAACAGATACGCTTCTGATCAATAGAGTGTACAGGCTTAGTTCGTATTTAAAATAAAGTATTAAGTTTCCCTCCGATGGTGTACAGCTGTTGGCGGATTAGGCGTTGATCGATTCATTCAACAATGAATTTGAAGATCAAAGCTGCTCATGTCTGATTTTGGTTTGCAGCACACACTAGGCATCACAGGAGGTCAACGAACAGCATATTATTGACAGCAAATGAGAGATAACGGTCTTTAACTGAGAGAAAAGAAATCTTTGTGAAAACGCGGCTAGGGTGGTCAAGATGGCCGCTTTAGGTGAGAATAGGAAAAGGCAGAACATGATTAAAGGGGAGAAGGATATAATAATAATAATAATAATAATAATAATAATAATAATAATAATAATAATAATAATAACAATAATAATAATAAAAAGATGAAGAAGTAGTAGAAGAAGAAGAAGAAGAAGAAGAAGAAGGAGGAGGAGGAGAAGCAAACATATGGAGAATAAGGGACGAGAAAAGGAAAGAGGGAGTAGTGCTAGAGGAGACATAACCCAATGTCTGCAGTTGATTACCACTGTTGACAGTGAATGCTCCTTCGAAAATAAGGAAGTCTTAAGCATATAATAACTTTTGCTGCATAAAATCTCTGCAGGTGGTCCAGTGTGTCGTTTTGGGAGCTCTTATTTACATGTGTACGGTGCAAGTTGTGTAGTTAAGTTTACAACGGATAATAACTAACGACTAAGCTTGGTCTATTTTTGTATATATCTGAGGGACTCATATGTGACAATATAAATCTCAGCTGGAGTATAAGCGTACTGTTGATTCTTGGAGTTTATCGGAGCAGTGTCTACAGGCCGTTATGATGGATTACGTGTCGCCAAATCAGTGGTTAAAGGAGAGACAGAAGAGAAAAGTTTTGGAAGGAATGAATTCGTCAGATCCTCAGTTGCAGGTGAGTATATACATTTGTTTAACTGTTTTTATGTGATCCTGATATCTCATCATCATCATCATCATCATCATCATCATCATCATTGTCTGTTTCACAATGGCCTCACAGTCCACTCCTCCACTTCATTCTATTCTGTGCAGTATTTTCCATAGTTATGAACGAAATCTAGTCCAGCACATTTGACCTCTCTCACTCATACTGGCTAAAAGTTATTCCTAATTGAACCAATCGCAACAGTCTAAAATAATAGTTTCTTACACTGTAGAGGGTACTATCTTAGAGTGGCAAGCCATACGGAACATATCTTGTACTATCTTAGAGTGGCAAGCCATACGGAACATATCCTGTACTATCTTAGAGTGGCAAGCCATACGGAACATATCCTGTACTATCTCAGAGTGGCAAGCAATACGGAACATATCCTGTACTATCTTAGAGTGGCAAGCCAGACGGAACATATCCTGTACTATCTTAGAGTGGCAAGCTACACGGAACATATCCTGTACTATCTTAGAGTGGCAAGCTACACGGAACATATCCTGTACTATCTTAGAGTGGCAAGCTACACGGAACATATCCTGTACTATCTTAGAGTGGCAAGCCATACGGAACATATCCTGTACTATCTTAGAGTGGCAAGCCATACGGAACATATCTTGTACTATCTTAGAGTGGCAAGCCATACGGAACATATCTTGTACTATCTTAGAGTGGCAAGGCATACGGAACATATCCTGTACTGTCTTAGAGTGGCAAGCCATACGGAACATATCATGTACTGTCTTAGAGTGGCAAGCCATACGAAACATATCCTGTACTATCTTAGAATGGCAAGCCATACGGAACATATCATGTACTGTCTTAGAGTGGCAAGCCATACGGAACATATCCTGTACTATCTTAGAGTGGCAAGCCATACGGAACATATCATGTACTGTCTTAGAGTGGCAAGCTACACGGAACATATCCTGCCCAGGTAAGTGGACACTGTGAGAGGTGACAGACTAAAGAAGAGCAGATCCTGGATGGTCCAGGCTGAAAAGACATTCAACAAGGTCTGCACAATTGAAGAAATTGGCCGAGGAGAAGAACTGGTACCAGATGGCGGAGAAGGGAGCTGTATAACATGGTTATGATCTTTTACGAACGTGCAGAGGTTCAGCAGCTGATAGTGGAAAACTCTAGACCAGATTGTATACGCTGATGCATCGGTTGCCCTGGGCGGGAAATATGGATTGGGCTTCGTGGCAAAAGCATAGGAGAAAGGAGTGGGTGAAGAGAGCTTGGCCTGTGACATCACCGCTTCCAGCATGAGAGTTGAGGTTGAGGCGGTGCCTGAGGCGTTCCGATGGGTGGAAAAGGTCTCAACCCCACATGCTGTTATAGTGTCGGATTCGAAAAGCATGCTCAGAAATGTCGTCACGTTTTGTGTGTGTGTGTGTGTGTGTGTGTGTGCGTGCGTGCGTGCGTGCGTGCGTGTGTGTGTGTGTGTGTGTGTGTGTGTGTGTCTGTGTGTGTGTGTGTGTGCGTGCGTGCGTGTGTGTGTGTGTGTGTGTGTGGGATGTATTAAATCAATCCAGAAGTAGCAGTGGCGAGTCACAGTGATATTGTTCCCGGGGTATTCAGGTGTGTTTGGAAATTAGCAGGCAGATGAGCTGGTTGGAAGGGCCATATATGGGAGTGTACTGCGACTACACAAGGTAAAGGTGGGGTGAAAACTTTAGAAGAGGGAACAGGTGAGATGGAAGTTACTGGACATCCGCACCTGGGGAGAATGAGACAGCAAGGAGTGGCTCTGGGCTCTAAGCGCCACGCTCGAGACTCACAGGGAAGGCAAGATGAGTAGTTAACCAGATTACCAAGGTACCTTCTGCATGGAAACGCTTGGTTGCCTGTTGAACAGGGAGATGGGGCTAATATGAGCTTGTCCTAAACGCCGTGATGTGGAATCGTTACCGAGAGAAACCCAGATCAACAGGTTTGGAACTTCAATAAATCTATGGAACATTTGATCCTCTCATACACTAAAACCTACGCTTGATCATTAACAGGTTTGGAACTACAAGAAAGCGACGAATCATTTAATCTTCTCATACACTAAAACAAAGGCTTGATTAGCAGCAGATCTGGAACTACAAGAAATCTATGGAACATTTGATCTTCTCATACACTAAAACATACGCTTGATCATTTACAGGTTTGGAACTACAAGAGAGTGACGAATCTTTTAATTTCTCATACACAAAAACAAACGCTTGATTAGCAAAAGTTCTGGAACTACAAGAAAGGACTAAACATTTTATTCTCTCATACACTAAAATATACGCTGTATAAAAGGATCGGGACGGCAGAAAATCTGTCACTTATATACGATAGCGTTTTCCTGATCATTCAGAAGTTTATAACTACAAGAAAATGGCGAATCTTCACAATTCTCGGGTATTCACTCTAGCACGTTTGCTTGATCATGGAGATGTGTGGAAAGTAGACCAAGTTTCTTCATTGAGAGAGAGGGGGGAGTGAGAGAGAGAGGGAGTGAGAGAGAGGGAGTGAGAGAGAGGGAGAAAGAGTGAGAGAGAGAGTGAGCGATATATATATATATATATATAGAGAGATTGAGAGAGAGGGAGGGAGAGATAGAGAGAGGGAGTGAGAGAGAGAGGGAGAGAGAGTGAGAGAGAGAGAGTGAGCGAGAGAGAGAGAGAGGGAGAGAGAGAGTGAGAGAGATTGAATGAAGACAGGGCTGTAATTTCTGATGCTAAACAAATTGAGTACGAAGGCCTGCTTAATTTTCTTATGTTCACATCTATCAAACGTCAAAATTTTAAAACATTACAGATTTTGCATTCACTTACACTCAACACATTTAAAACAGTTAATATTTTAAATTAATTGAAACTTCAAAATGGCCACACATTTTGCGTTCACTCAAACTTCTAAAGGTTCATACATTAGACACTTTACGTTAGCAGAACTTCACAATGTTCATACATTAGACATTTTACGTTATCAGAACTTCACAATGTTTATACATTAGCCACTTTACGTTAGCAGAACTTCACAATGTTCATACATTAGCCACTTTACATTAGCAGAACTTCACAACGTTCATACATTAGCCACTTTACGTTAGCTGAACTTCACAATGTTCATACATTAGCCACTTTACGTTAGCCGAACTTCACAATGTTTATACATTAGACACTTTACGTTAGCAGAACTTTACAATGTTCATACATTAGCCACTTTACGTTAGCAGAACTTTACAATGTTCATACATTAGCCACTTTACATTAGCAGAACTTCACAATGTTCATACATTAGCCACTTTACGTTAGCTGAACTTCACAATGTTCATACATTAGCCACTTTACGTTAGCCGAACTTCACAATGTTTATACATTAGACGCTTTACGTTAGTAGAACTTCACAATGTTCATACATTAGACACTTTACGTTAGCAGAACGTTACAATGTTCATACATTAGCCACTTTACGTTAGCAGAACTTCACAATGTTTATACATTAGACACTTTAGGTTAGCAGAATGTCACAATGTTCATACATTAGCCACTTTACGTTTGCAGAACTTTACAATGTTCATACATAAGACACTTTACGTTAGCAGAACTTTTCAATGTTCATTCATTAGACACTTAGCAGAAATTTACAATGTTCATACATTAGCCACTTTACGTTAGCAGAACTTTACAATGTTCATACATTAGACACTTTAAGTAAGGAGAACTTCCCACTGTTTATACATTAGCCACTTTACGTTAGCAGAACTTTACAATGTTCATACATTAGCCACTTTACGTTAGCTGAACTTCACAATGTTCATACATTAGCCACTTTACGTTAGTAGAACTTCACAATGTTCATACATTAGACACTTTACGTTAGTAGAACTTCACAATGTTCATACATTAGCCACTTTACGTTAGCAGAACTTTACAATGTTCATACATTAGCCACTTTACGTTAGTAGAACTTCACAATGTTCATACATTAGACACTTTACGTTAGTAGAACTTTAAAATGTTCATACATTAGCCACTTTACGTTAGCAGAACTTCACAATGTTTATACATTAGACACTTTAGGTTAGCAGAATGTCACAATGTTCATACATTAGCCACTTTACGTTAGCAGAACTTTACAATGTTCATACATTAGCCACTTTACGTTAGCAGAACTTTACAATGTTCATACATAAGACACTTTACGTTAGCAGAACTTTACAATGTTCATACATTAGACACTTAGCAGAACTTTACAATGTTCATACATTAGCCACTTTACGTTAGCAGAACTTTACAATGTTCATACATTAGACACTTTAAGTAAGCAGAACTTCCCACTGTTTATACATTAGCCACTTTACGTTAGCAGAACTTTACAATGTTCATACATTAGCCACTTTACGCAAGCAGAACTTCACAATATTCATACATTAGACGCTTTACGTTAGCAGAACTTCCCAATGTTCACACATTAGACACTTTACGTTAGCATAACTTCACAATGTTCATACATTAGCCACTTTACGTTAGCAGAACTTCACAATATTCAAACATTAGACACTTTACGACAGCAAAATATCAAGAAAAGATATACAACCGAACGAAAAGTATATTAGCAAGCTTCACAATATAACAAATACAAACAAAACGTGAACGTTGCGGCTATGTAGCCTTCATCAGCACATACAAATCAAACAATGCTACACAGATACACAAAATCACTTAGCTGGTATAATGGACAATGTGGACGAGTGGGACAGGTACAAACATATAGTAGCAGTTGTGGGCGGGAGAGACACACGAGGAGGACGTCAGCAAAACTTCACAATTTTCATACATTAAATTGTATTTTCTTAGGCACAGTAAACAGTTTCATTCGTTCAGTTTCATAATTTTTATATATTAATCGTTTTACGTTCAATCCAACATCATATTTTCTATACATTTTATATTTTAGGCTCACTCCAACTTGACATTTTCTTTTCATAAATATTTTACGTTCACTCAAACTTAACATTTTCTATACATAAATATTTTACGTTCACTCAAACTTAACATTTTCTAAACACTAAATATGTTTTATGTTTACTTAAACTTCACATTTTCTAAACACTAAATATGTTTTATGTTTACTCAAACTTCACATTTTCTGTACATAAATATTTTACGTTCACTCAAACTTTACATTTTCTATACACTAAATATGTTTTATGTTCACTCAAACTTCAAATTTTCTATTTATTAAATATGTAATGTTCAATCCAACTAGACATTTTCTATACATTGAACATGTCATGTTCAACCCGACTTCACATTTTCTATACATTAAACATTTTACATTCAATCCACCTGCACATTTTCTATATAATAAATGTTGTACGTTTAGTCCAACCATATTGTGTGTACATTAAATGTTGTACGTTTATTGCAACATCACATTTTCTATACTTACATATTCTACGTTTAAATCCAGCTACACATTTTCTGTACATTAAATATTTTATGTTCACTCTAACTATACATTTTCTGTTCTTTGAATAGCATATGTTCAATTCAACTTCACATTATTTATGCATTAAATATGTGACGTTCAATCCAATTTCACATTTTCTATACATTATATATGTTATGTTCACACCAACTTCACATTTTCTATACATTAAATATTGTTTTTTTACTCAAACTTCACATTTTCTATACGTTAAATATTTTATGTTTATTCCAACTTTACATTTTCTATACACTAAATATTTTATGTTCACTCCAAATTCACATTTCCTATTCATTAAATATGTTATGTTCACTCCAACTTCACATTTTACATGCATTACACATATTACATTCACTCAGACTAGACTAGCTGCCAAAAAAGACTACAAGTTAAGCCAGCGCTGCCACAACATACAACTGTCCTGTTGCCCTTAAATGTCCTTAGTCAAAGCCAGTGTATTCCT